TTTCTCTTTCCTCTCTTCCTCACCCGTCACTTTTCTTCATCTCCTTCATTTCTTATCAATTTCAATCGCAGCTCTTTCATTCTTCCAAAATCGGAAACGAGAATCAGACAATCCCACTCAAAATACCGTCCGCCTCGCCTCCGACACCGTCACATCGTCTCGCCTCTCTCACCATCGTCACACCGTCCCGCCTCTCCCACCAGCCACCGTCTCGCCTCTCTTCCGTCACGCCTGGCCGCCTCGACGTCCCGCCTCGCCCTCGCTGCCTCGACGTTTGGACGACTAAAATTGCAGATTTAAAATGTAATTACTATCTTTGAAATTGGTAAGCTTTTATCTTTGCAATTGATTTTGTAATTTCCTTTAATTTTGTATAGTGTTTAATTTGCTTGAAATCAGGTGGACTAGCTTAGCTTTGTTACAAATTTCTTATGCTTTCTGATCATGAACTCTTTCAATTGATGGTGTTCATCAATTCATGGCTGCCTTGTGTTTCTCTCTCTCTCTTTTTTTTTAATCAAAGTGTAATTTGGGCGGGCCATGGCGGGGCGGCCCGACCCGGCGCGGGCCAGGTCACGGGGCCGCGTTCTTGGACCCGTGGCGGTTCACGGGCCAGGTCGGGGCGTGGGCCTAGGGTCGCGGTGCAGGTCCGGGTAGTTATTGGCCCGACCTGCCCCATTGCCATCCCTACGTTTAGCCCAAGAAATACCAGCATGTTGTTTTTTTATTTAGAGAGCGAATCGTAGTTGTGGTTGTGGACCCGTATTACCCAAGAGTGGATAATAACGGATGTTGACCTCTCTCTTCTGGGAACATTCATCAACAGGACAATCCATTTGTTCTTTTCAATTCATTCTGTCCAAAATTCCCAGTTTCTTCGCCTTCAATTTTATCCCTCCTCTATGCTTAATTTCTGAAAAATTCCGTGTCGATCTATAGTACGCATGTTATGTTGGAAGATTTTGATCGCTATATATGTGATTTTATGAAACGCCCAGAAAAAAAAAAATAGAGAAAAAGGAGACAAAATTAGCGAGGAATGGAGCTGAAGGGGAATTTTGTGCCGCAGTTTAAAGTAGGCGAGGCCCAATCGGCGCAGCTTCCCTCGATGGCCAAACGCGATTCTGTACCTGTAGTTGGAATGTTTAGCAGGTATCTTAATGATGACTATAATGTTATGATTGTGGAGTATTTATGTGGAAGTCCATATGCATATGCATAGAATGTGTATGATTATGTGCATTTGTTTGTGGCGTTCCGCGTGCTCTAGTTTCTCGTTGCAGTTTTCTAGTATTTGGGTGTGTTGTTATTCTTATTCAGATAGATACTAAATAATGGCATAGGCCCTAGGTAGCCGTACTTTTCATTACAGAAAGGAAAAAAAACCGTCACCGATGAGTAGAAAGAAAGAAAAGTTAAAACATAATGCAACTAGAGTTACTATCAAAATGCCCAAAGACGCAATTTGAATGGAGGTTGTCTCGCAGGATTTTCGTGATTTTTTTGTGGCTTAGTACTAGATTCTGCTTGTTGACCATGTTTATTTCTAGGTAATGTTCTGTTATAAAGAGGAAATTTATCACTTTGAATGGTCACGTTGCATGGTCAATTTAGGTAATATATTATTGTTTTTCATAGCACATCAACTCTAATCATTACACTGTTAGCCTTTATCCGTTCACAATCTAAAATATATTTCACTTCTCTAAATAATATATTTTTCCACTTATCCATCTCTATTTTTGACCAGACATATGTTTTTTTTTTTTGGAAAAATTTCTATGTCTAATGGTTCGGTGATCAGATCGACTTCTGCACAATTCGCATTGTAATTTCATTCAAGATACGTAATGATACTGGACTAATGGAGAGAAGCTTCTGTGGTCTATTGAGAAGGAATACCCTGCACGTGCTTAAAACAACTGCATAAGCTTAATGACTTAATGGTATCATTTTCTTGAGTGCAAGTAGATTTGCGTTATTATGGTTGTTGATACCCATCAAGATGCTGCCCTTATGTATTTCGTTCTCTTTGGCTTACATGGGTATTCCGTGCCTCAATTATTCCCACTTTAGATTTTTTTTCCTACTCACTGTTATTAGAGATGAACTATGTCTTGCAAGCATTAATGTGATTTTACATCAATTATCTATCTCCCTATCATTTACATAAAGATGTAATAATTCCCAGAAGACACAAAGTGTTTTGCTCTCTTTGTAGTTACCTTATGCTTGGTCTGACTGTCTGGGTAGTTTGGATATTAAATTTGTTTGTTCAAGTTGTCTGCATGACTAGGTAAATTGAGTTATATCATTGCTTACTGGATCTTTGGTTTTCAAAATCTTTACTTGATACATTTTCCACATAGGATGGCAAATTCTTCTATGGAGTCATTTCCTTCTCATAGATGGAAGAATCTTGAAGTTCATTGCAACAGTGACCAAAGTATCAGACACTTGGCTCTTTCTAAGAGTGGGGGCTCAAAGCTGCCTGAGCTCTCTTTTGACCGGCGACAGCTGACCGATCAAGAATGTAGTGGGCTGCAAAAACGAAACTTTGGCCGTTTTGTTGCTCGTGAGGCGATACTTGATGAAGAATACTGGGTTGGTTTTTCTCTCTCATTATCCTCTATTGAATGTAGGAAGCTAACCTCATCATGCTATGTACTATTTCGGTTTGCATATTTTAGAAGAACTCTAGATTTCTTCTCTCCATGTCTGACTTGGCAATGGCAGACAGCAGCATGGCTCCGAGCAGAAGCGCATTGGGAATCCTTATCCTATATGAGGTCAATAATTTGTATTTTAATATCGTTTACTAATCTTGATTGTACTTCAATCGAGACTTGATAAACATGACGTCTTGTTATAGGATTGTGTTGGGCATCCTATATCTTATCATTTGAGTTATTGTTAACTTCCATAATAATGCTTGATTTTTCAGGCATGCTGATGGTTACAAAAGAAAGTATGCTGAGGAGGTGAGTTTCAATAGAGATGACTCAGTAGATGTACTCAGTTCTCTTCTGGCTTCGTGCAACTTTATGATCTAAGTGTAGGTGTGGGCACTATTGTTTTCTGAACTCAATTTTTCTCATATTGTCAGGAATTCTATGCTTTGAAGCGAAGATGTTTTGGACAGCAGGGGAAGTCATTGAACTGTTTTTGTTTTGTTGCAGTAAGCAAACAGACTCTTATATAGATTGTCTAGATTCACATCTCATACGAGATCTTTCTGTGAATTCATTCGACTTCCAGAACAGTTAACTTGTTAAAATTGTCTCTTTGTGATCTGGACAAGTATTGAGAAATATGCACGTCCCTCCCTCTCTCTCTTTCTCTCTTTCTCACACACAAACACATGAATTTGACTCTTGTACGCGCACATATGATTTCGACTTCCATGTGGGAAATAACTGACAGTATTAATGCTAAGAGATAAATTTTGTTGGTCAAATTAATATGAAACTATATCCCCTAGGCCATCTTCATAATTTTAAATCCTGCAGTATGTTATAAATTGCAGTTTCTATCTGGAGGCTCACTAATCATGAGTGACATTATTTCCTCTACCGGGCTGCAGGTTAAGAAGGAAGATAAAAATGTTAGACGAACAGTTCTGAACAGTTTAGTGGGGACTTTGGACTTGAGTATCAGGCAGTTCCTTCAAGGAGAAAAATATCCTGGGGTACAAATACAAATCCATATCTGTTACTTCCTCACTCCTGTTTATCTCAAAGATGACATACATTTCTTCTTCCGTGTGATACTGTGATTAGCTCCTCAATTGGATATTGTGGTTATGCCACCATTCACCTTTTTTACCTGAGAGTCGTCCATTAATCCTTGTTTAATAATCATACTTATTTCACTTTATTGGTTATTCTGACCAACTCCTTTTGTTCATTATAATTTTCCTATTTCACTTTGTTGTTATTCTGACCAACTTCTTTTGTTCATTATAGTTTTCTATTTCACTTTGTTGGTTATTCTGACCTACTCCTTTTGTTCATTATAATTTTCCTATACCACTTTATTGGTTATGGTGACACACTCCTTTTGTACCTTAAAGTTTTGTGGGGAGCATCTCTTAACCAACATAATATGATTTATTTTCATTATTTTCTGGAAAACTGAGAATGCTTAATCTATCAGTTATTTTTATTTTGTAGGAAATAAAGAGACTGCCGGCTGTTTTTTCCTGTCAAGAGCCCTTTGGTATGCATAAATATGCTTATATTGCAAATGTTTGTGTGGCAAAGTTTGCTCGGCGTCAGGGTATTGCTTCAAACATGATATACTTGGCTACTGATGTTGCCATAATTGCAGGTTTATATTGTAATAAAAATATCAGCATTTGTTGTTCCTCGCTTGTTATTGTTTTCATGTATTTTTTTTTAAATTGTCTTGATTTTTTTGTTATTGAAATGGCTTTTCGCTCATCTCTATTATCATGCGAGCAGGGATGAAGCAGCTTTTTGTCCATGTAAATGCAGATAACAAGCCTGCTCGTGATCTGTACAAGAAAACTGGTTTCAAGGTTAATTGCTTACCCTTCTTGAGCATTTTAATCTTCCATCCATATAGTTGTCTTATGAATGTGCCATGATTCTTAGCTGTTAAAACAATAAGGGTCTGCTCGGTCCAAAATTTATGATTCATGCTACCACGACTTGAAAGTACCGTCAAGAAATTTCAGAAGATAAAGGAATAATAAGTGTAGGCCAATCATCGGCAATTTTTTTTGGCATGGTGAGTCGTTTAACAATGGAAATATATCCCAGAATCAACATACCGAATTTTCATTATTCATCATATCCTTTTCTTTTTCATACTTACAATATTTTATTCTTCTCAGTTTAATTCTTTGCATTGATATGATTATTATTGGATTGTTTCGCATCTGATACAATAAAATCTACTTTTAATTTGTCTTATCTAATATTAAGTGATGGATGGCATGTTAAAAGCGTAATATTAATCTTTTTCAGAAAGCATAAACAAACTTGTTTTCATACTGAAATATTCATTATTATTTCATTATTGAATGGTCAAAATGTTTATAAACATAACTAAATTTGAATTGTAACTTAGTCCGAAAAAAATCAAATAACAAAAAGGAAGTAAGTTTTTATTAAAATACTTGACATATTAGCAGAAATCATTTATGAAGCTGTAACTTATGTAGTTCGTTCATTTTAGGTATAAGGTTAGATTAGTTTATATGATTTGTAATTCTGAATGCGTTTCAATATTTTTAGTCGGCAAATTATTAGATGCCTATAATAAATTTCTTGATCTAAGCTCTTTGCATACATACGAGTATATAAATATGTAGAGTTCAATATCATCTTTAGTTGATTCTTTTTTCTTCATGAGTTTGATATCATCTGATGAAGAATAATTAGATTCTCATATCATCTTAACTCTTTGTTCCATCTACGTGTTTGAATTTAATATGTGACTAGGCAGGCTATCATGATTTGATTTAGTTAATATATTGTAATATTCCATAATTTGTAATGAACTATACAAATTTGATTTTAATCTAATCTTGGATCAAGTGATAGATGCCATGATAGATATTATTTCATCAGACCAGAAGTAAAAATTTATCAAATACATGAAAAGAATAACATGAGTTTTATAAAATAATGAAAATTTCATCAAGTTGTAGAAATATCGTAACTTGCATAAAGTAGCGAAACATATTAGAAAATGATAAAATAATACAATTTCAACAAAAAGTGATACATGAAAATACATTGATGATTGATCATGGTTTGGTGGTCTGAATTTATAGCTGCACCACTTCAAAATCATCTTACACCTGAATCCCCCCCTCCCAAAAAAAAGTTGAAGATACAATCAATTTTGGACAACTACCGCACCTTGAAGTCGTGAAAAATTTGTTCATTAAAGTGATTCACGTTTCCCCCATGCATTGTAGCCCTTAGTTTTAGTTGTATATGGTAATATTGCTAAAACATTTTTGTTTTATGTTTACGATCTTAACCCTTAAATAAGCTCACTAGTCATAGGCAAAGATTTTTTTAAAAAGAAAAAACATTCATTGATCTTATTTGGACAAAAAAGTTTTTGCATTATTCACCGATCCATGAATAAGAAAGTTGTGGCCTAATATTTTAGGGAAAGATTTGTTATATTGATTCCGGATAAACAATATATTATTGACGGTTTTTTTTTTCCATCAAACCCAATTTTAATTTTAAGTCCATTCAATGAATAAATATTCTACTTACTGCACAAGGTTACTTGCCATTATTCATGGATGTCATAATCAGCAATGTTCGTGTTTAATACACATGGACGACTGTACGTTGAAATTTGATGAATAATTAATTAATTATATTATTCATCATTTCTTAAACCATGCACTATGTGGTGGTATATGTCAAAATTTGATCAAAAATCTTAAGGAGGGAAAATATATGCCAGTTTAGGAACATTAAGTCAAAACCATTATATTGATGTAGATGTAGATATAGGTATGGATTACTTTGGCTATTTCAAAGCAGTTTTATTTTGTTGAACAGAACTTGGTCAATGCAATTCTTTCTAAAAGGTGTAACATATATATAACACAGTGTTTGCACTAGGTCTTGATTGAGAAGTCCATTTATGAAATGTGTAATGGCTCTCAGGAGTAGATGGTTTCACACGTCTCCAAATCTCTATTTGATTGTGGAACTACCTTGTTTTCTAATTTATCTTCAATAAGCCGGTGAACTCAGTATCCAAAATCTGGAGAGAGAATTAGCTATTATTACCCAATTGCTACTTTTTGTTTTTGTTAGGTAATAATTGTCCTGTTGCATGTGGTACTCAATTGCTAAATGAATTGTGTAGTAGAGAGCTTTTCTATGGCCTAACAGTTGACTCATGGCAGGTTGTTGAGGCTGCTGCTTGTCCTATGTCAAAAGATCAGAGGATATTAATGTCTATGGAACTGTAAGTTACGTGATTTTGCAGCCACGTGTTGTGTCAGGCACCGAATGTTTCACTGTCTATATACAAGTTTAGTATATATTTGTGAAGTTCGTCAACTTGTTTGTTTGTGCATCCATATTTTAGTTGATGCAAATGACATGTATAGGGTTTAGAAATAGTTAGCAAAGTGTGTTGTTTTGTTGTAATATTTGTCTGCAGTGCAATTGGTAAGTTCAACTATGTTGTAATGGTGCATAATAAAGGTTTGCATTCTGTTGTAATGACAATGCACTTCATTTGTGGTGCTATAAATTGTTTACCTTATCTTTGCGCCATCATATATGGAGATATTGACTGCTCATTTAGACAAGTGACATTCTGGTCGCTCTATCCTTGATCACCCAACTGATCTATCAGGTGGTGTGTTTTTACACTTACATTGGACTATCGTCAAATGTGAGACAGGTTGTACGGAACAAAATTGATTTTGTTTAAATGTAATTTTTCTGTTGGTTCGTAAATAATTTTTGGCAGTAAAATGCGGACAAGTATTTGCGTCGTAATGTTGGAAGGATAACTAATGTCCAATGCAAATTATATTTAATTGTCCTTATGATGAAATAGTATATTGGATGGATTATTGTCGAAACAAATTGCGACAAACCCATCTATTGCCCTGCTCAGAGGTGATGACTGCGATGGGACCTAACGCGCTTGTGTGTGCTCATCCCCGGCCGGCCTTTGAAAAGCCTTCCGCAAGCCGTGGCCATACCACTGCTCATTGGCTGCGCGATCTTCTTTGTCATAGTTTCTAGATGAATAAATAAATTTTATTTATTTGGTTATAACTTCAAACGACGAAAAAGCAAACACATAATTCTAACAAGCATATTTCTAAATAGTTGTTTCAAACGACGAAAAAGTACGCACATAATTCTAACGAGCATATTTCTAAATAGTTGTTTTCTCCCTTTAAAAGCACAATCAGTACATTAAATGTATATATATAGTATATAAAAAATATAACTTCTATAAGATTTGGATCGTTGGAAGACCACACCATTCCAACTGAAGAAAAGAATTCTCATTGTTAATGAATTCATGTATAATCAGTACATTAAATATATACTACTCGTACCATAAACAATATACAGATAATATATTTTCTGTAAGGTTTCAATTGTTGAAAGACCACACCAGATAATTCATTTACACACTAGATAATTCATTTACGCTTCCGTTATATTTGATTGATCCTTACTTATTTGACATGAATAATTTTGAGATTGAATTAATTTACTTTGGTTTTATATTTCAACAATAGTATGTACTATTCAATAGCGATATATATATATATATATATATATATATATATATATATATATATATATTATCATAAAATACTATAACTTTATACAAATTAGAGACAATAAACATTTTATTTCAAAGTTGGAACCGCCCATATGTAAAAAGTTAGCAAATTGTATTGTTTAGCTATAAGTGGTTGTAGATTTTGTTTACGAGATGGGCCTAATTAGATTGGTTGGTGATACTTATTTTAATAAAAAAACATAATTATGCTATGAAATTTTATACTTTGATTTATGTTATTTTTAAAATAATCTATAGCATTTCAGTTTAAATATATATAATAAAATGTGATTAGTTAATTTTTAGTTGAGTCTAACATTAATATAAACACTAAGGTCTCACGTTAATTAGTATTAAAAATATTAAAAAAAATATTATTTCCTATTAGAATTAGGAAAAACATTAATTCCTATAATTATATAAACTGACCCATCACACATGTTATACTCTGCACAAAAATATCAAGTCACTCTGAACATCAATTTCATAATCCTACTAATAATAATTTTTCCTCGCGTATCTAATTAGTTAGTAAAACTCGATCAGCATATAGCTTAGCTATGTTCCCATTTTTTAGCTTTAGGTGTTCCAAATCATCACTATTGCTGCTCATCTTCTCCCTTATCTGCCTCTCCTCTCTCCCGCTGTCTCCGGCAGCGCCTTCGCCCTCCCCCTCCCCCGCCCCCTTTGATCATTCCCTCATGAACGACGTGTCCCATTTCATTAATCAATNAAAGGATTTTAATTTAATAACAAATAGAAATATATACAAAAAATTAAAACTGTGTACAAACTCCCTTTTAGAGAATCTTCATTTAATAATCAATAAAAAACTAAAACCTCTGTATGTACAAAACTTTCCATACGGGAGAAAAATGAGTACAAATGTGAAATTTGGATTTTTCAGAATTTAAATAGTATCAAAGACTTAGGAAAATATAAAACAAGGAGGCGATAAAACTAGCCCGGGTGGAAGGAAACGGTCATGTTCTCATTAAATAGGAGGTACGAGAAACAACTAAAAACAATAAAGAAAAGCACATGAGATAACGTGAAGAAAAAAAAAAGTGTATTTGCACTAAAAGTTATGAATATAATATAAAACATTAAAACATAAGAAACATAGTTACTAAAATTTACCATTTGTGCACATTCTTAGATTTTATTATTATCACTTAAAGTATTTGAACACAGTAATAAATAAATTAACACATGTTGTACCTCAAATTTACCGGTCACTAAGTTCTCAAATTCAAAAAGGTGTGGCCCAAATGCGAATTGACGTCCAAAAGAGTAGGGAACCTGGCCGAAACACAACACATGCTCCACAACCACCTTGGAGGTATAAGATTAGGGTTTTCGACCGCCTGATCGACCTACCGATCATTCACGGAAGCTTTTCGAGGAAGATTGACGATCACCTTTATCGTCGGAACTAAAATTGGCAAAGCTGATAGCACCACCCAAGCCGTCCCATTCAGTTAAGCATGAAAACATGTGGCGTCACTCTATGCCCCTATCTGCCATTCCGTAATTAATGCGTCATCATTTTTTCTCATATAAATACCACCTCTCAGGTCCAAAAAAGAGGCAATCGATCAATCAGTCGATAAAAACCATATACATATACATTATTCTCGCTTTGCCATACCATTGAATCCACACCATGAATCTTCTTGCAATATCAATCAGGCTCTAGCCCTCTCGCGGAATTAATAATATGCGCTTCTCGTATAATATGGGATGAGGCTCCGATGATGCATAACCATTGTTTTGAAGTTGTCCAAACATCGTTGCAAGGTTTTATGGGAGCAATTGATCCTTCTAACAAGGACAAATCATTTGGCGGCAAACTTATTGTTTTTGGTGGAGATTTCGATGAATCCTTCCAGTTATTTCGAAGGGCGCGTAACTGTCAGGACATAGTGAATGTTGCGATTAATGCTTATGGCATATGGAGGAGTTGTACTATGCTCGGACTTACAAAAAACATGCGTTTTCAAAGCCTTTGTGATTCAGACGAACATAAAAAGGTTGATGAGTTCGTTGAATTGATAGTTAGCATTGGGCATGGACCTATAATGGAGTCCAACGATAGTTGCGCAATGATAGACATACCTAAAGATATATTGCTTCAGCCCTCTTCAAATTCGATTACTCAAATCGGTGAAAGCAAATATCCTATGTTTAAGCAAACAACTGATGATCCCAGATATTTGAAGGACGATGTTACATTAGCACTGACTCGGGATGTTGTTGAGTCTATAAATGAGCACATTACATCGTTGAATTTTCTTGATGGCCATACGTACCTAAGTTCCAATAGTACGTGCAAGTCAGACTATAATAATGATTTTCTATTTGATCTCCACATACCCGAGTTCTTGAATAGCATCAAATATTCGAGAATTTCAAATCATTAGTTGCATTTGAAGATTGGAACTCCCATCATGTTGTTGCAGAACATGGATCATTCTATGGGTCAATGTAATGGGATGAGATGGGTTGTGACAAAACTCTCCACTTATGTTCTTGAGTGTAAGATACTGACTGGGGATCATGCATGCGAGAAGGTTTTACTTCCTAGAATGTCTATAACTCCTTCCGATGTCAGAATTAATTTCTTTCAAGTTGAGTTGTGAAAGTTTTCCATTATGGTTTCATACTTCATGACTGTAAACAAAAGCCATGGACAATCGTTATCGCATGTTGGTTTATTTCTTAAGAAGCCCTTTTGCGGTCATGATCAGTCACATGTTCTTGTCTCCCGTGTCACCAACCGAAATGATTTGAAAAATATTAATATGTAGTGACGATGACTCGCCAACAAATCAAACCAAAAATGTTGTGTACAAGAAAGTGTTGATAATATTTGATTTTTTACATTCTTTGTGACCCGTTTATTTTTGTTAAATATATAAAAACTCCTTAATTTTAATATTGCATGCACATGTTAAACATTCCAGAAAAATATATCATGCTCATGCACGGGTGACAGGTTGCGACTAGTTACAACCAAAGAAGAATGAGGTTGATTATGATGAACTTCATTCGATCCATTCAGGCGGCCGCTCGTTAAGATCAATCCCCAAAACCAGTGCACGCTCCTCCTCTTGCTCGTGGTCACCGGGCACCTCACCTGCTGACTGTACCTGATCAAAAATTGCGATCCCCACATACGGCACAATCGCCCAACTATAAGATGCAACACCCACGGACACCCCACCATCATCGTCCACGGACGACGACCTAATCTTCTCCATCTTGACGTGATGCGATCTGTGGCCCCCAAGGGCCTGGTAGCTCTTAAAGCTCCTTCCGCACACACTGCACGCGTACAACCTCTTGTGGGTCCCACTTCCCCCGCCAGTCGATGCTTGCTCTTGTGAAATCGAGATATCGATGCCTCCGCTGTTTCCACAAAAGAGAGTCGCCATTTCAATATTCTCCGTGCCTTCTCCGGCGGTTTCGCCGGCCTTTTTGTTGGCGGATGGCCCTTTGCTGTGCATCCTTAACCCAATTTTGTGCTATTCTCTGCCCGTTAGCGCCGATGGAGGAAGATAGTCGCCCTTCTGCCGGATCTCGCAGTGCACTCTTGCCGGTCACTATCGCAATTGTCAGCCACCTTGGTTGCATGGTGGTTCTTGGTGGTGGTGCGGGACTGGGGGTGGGATGTGGACCTAACTGCTCGCTGTTGTCGGTGACGAGCGAGCAGGGGTTGAGGGGCATGGTTCGACCCCCCTGTTTCTCTACTCCTTTTGGTGCGAAGGATGGGAAAGACCGGCATTCTCAGATTTGGGCCAGTGATGATGGCCGGGTTCGGGGTGGTGGGTTGTGGGTGGGGTCTGTCTGTTCGTCCAACTTGGGGTCAGCTATATCCTAGCTAGGAGTGGTTTGAGGTTCAGGGACTCAGCTTCAGCTAGGCGTTTGGGCAGTTTAGGGAGTGGTGTTCTAGACTTCGGGTCAAGCTGTGAGGATAGTCGGCCCTTATTCTGCTGGTGCCTTGTGATAGACTTAGTTTAGGTTTTTTTTTATTCTGCTGGGGAAGGGATGTGCTTGTTAGTTTAGGTTTTTTTATTTTTGGTTGTCTTGTTGTGTTCTTTGTTGTTTAAGATTTGTGTTTTTAGTTTGGGCCGTTGGCCTCTGTAAACCCGAGTGAGAGCGGGCATTATCCTTTTTGGGATCGGTCATTCTCCTCTGTTGAGAACTTTGTAGTTGGTTTTTTTTAAGTTGTAGTAGTGTTGGTCTAGCGTTGCTAGAACGTCTCCAGACGATCTTCGGATTTGTCCTCTTAGTTTTAAGCTCTTAGTTGTAATTATTCAGCTTTGGGTTGCTTTCTTTTTGCACTCTTGTGCGTTTTATAAAATCCCTATCGTTTTGGAAAAAAAAAAGTTAATACAGTTAACTAACCGAGTAACCCGATTATTTCGGTTTGGTTTTAGTTTGGATTTGCAAATAAAAGAAAAACCAACACTGCAGAATGCATAATAATATTAAACATGATGCACACAACTGTCAGACTACACAATAGTGTTATACCAAATGTAGTTTAATGCGTCCGAGAATGCAGATTAGCGTATCACTGCATTCCGCATAATGACACTGCGTGACAAAAAACAAAAGTGTAATCCGCACAATAACACCGTAAAGATGACGATAAGTTAATTCGCAATTAGTATGTACGGGTGTTGTATTTATACGATAAATACTTACTTTAAAAATTTTAAATTCCGCTGCGTACAGCCCGTACGGTACTAACGAACCCAACATAAGCCACCTGCTAGCCTAGACAATTGCATACAACATAAATAAGAAAACCACCTGGTGGTAAAAGATACACAAAATTTTTAAGACTTTATTTGTTTTAATTAGACCCCGACCGCAACTATGTTCTCTTTATTTGTTTTAATTTGCTTTTATTTTTTAATTTTAATTTTTAAGACTTAATGAAAAAAAAAATTAAAAATCATATATGAAAGACAACATACTTACATACTTATATTACATATATTAATTTTTTTTTTTCTTTTTTTTTCTGTAATGGCGGGCTGGCCCGCGGCCCGCCCGGCCCGCTCCGCCAAAGCCCGCGGCCTGTGCGGGCCAGCCCGTTTAGGCTCGCCATTTGGCGGGCCTATAAAATGTCAACCCAACCCACTTGTTTGGTGGGGCGGGGCCCGCGGGCCCAGACCCGTTTTGACAAGTCTAACTACGCCAAATAAAAATAGCGGTTCTCACACTAAGACTTGGTTCTCATTTGAACCACATCATATATATATATATAAGGAGTGGTTCAAATAAAAACTAGTCCTGGTGTGAGAACCGTGAGAACCATATTTGATGCTATTTTTAATTGTGTATGAAGCTATTTTTAATCTCACATGGTGCTATTAATTTTACGAATGCTAACATAATTGTGTTGCTATTTTTAATAAAATACATCCTGATTAAAAATAGCACTAAATACAATCAATCATAGCACAACATACAATTAAAAATAGCGGTTCTCACGCTAGGACTTAGTTCTTATTTGAACCACATCCTATATATATATATATATATATATATATATATATATATATATATATAGATTAACATCTACCATAAATAGTAACAAAAAAAGTCAACTCACATTTATTACTTACTATTTCTAGTAGTTTTTTTATTTTACGTTTTAATTTTAATTCATTCTCAAAAAATTCGGTTAGCCTTAAAAGGTTCCTAAATTAATGGGTTGTATATATTTAATTTAGAGCACGTATAAATATATGCAAAAGCACCTTTTTCTTAAAAAAAGAAAAACCGATTGCAATGAAAATCAAGTCTCATTTGGAATTTAAAATTCAAATTTTAAATTTTGTTGCCATAAAATCGGGCTAAATAAATATTTTTAATTACGTAAAATTCTATGAAAGTCTTTTTATATAAATATACTGCCTCAAAATTAAATATTTTTATACTAATTGCAACAGTTTTTGGATTATATATCATATCGTATTTTTTAAATTTCAATATAAAAAATCGTGCATATTAACAAACTGTATATCTTCTCCTTTTATATTAAAGAAAAATTTTGATTGCAATGAAAATTGGGGGCAATATTGAATTGATAATTTAAATTTCAAAATGCCTTGCCATTTGTTTGACATAAAATTGGGCAGAATGAAAAATTGCATATAATAGATGTAAATTTTGAATTTAAAATTTAAATTCAATATCCCTTATGATTTGGTTGCCATAAAATGTGGTTGCTTCTACAATTTAAATTAGAAAAAATCCTATCACATATTTTTTTTTTTAAAAAAAACACCTAAAACAATTTATTTAAAGCATCGATTCAATGAAAAAAAAATGTAAATCTAAGACCCTCAGTGTTAGATCGCAAAAGTTGGAAGAAGATTGATGAACAAATATTAAAGAAGAAGCTGGAAGCGGCGAAAAATGAAGGAAGAAATGAAGCCCTATATCCAATAATTTTGCTACTTATACTATGTTTAGTGTAATCTAAGTCGTCGATTTGTGTTGACTGAACTGGATCGTTGGATTATTTTTCCTGTTTTGTTTATGCCGATATGAACTTTCAAAGCCCACATTGTAAATGAATTGGCTTTATTTTTATTTTAAATGGGCCAGGTTTTGGCCCAACTCAATGTTTAAAAATTATGTGAAAGCCCACACTTTCAAACGCATTCCTATTTTACAAGTCCAACATGATTAATATAAATAATTACACATACCATATTTTAAGTATTTATTAGGTTTAATTATAATCATGATCGTTATGCTCTATTATATTAGTTGAATTTGAATACAAAATTGCCTTTTAAAAATGACAGAAATAATAAAGCCTCGTGCATCGCACAGGTACTGTACTAGTTAAGGGAATCATTCCATTACATCTTTGGAAATAGATTCTAACGGTTATTTGTTGAACATCTGCAGGTGCATATCGATATGTTTTAACTAGGTTATTTAACCTTTGTTCATTTTTTTTTAACATTTTTGTTAATGCAACAATTTGTTTTCTTAACGATTTGAGGCAATTTATATCTGTAAATACTTCTCTTAATAGCATATGCCAAAAATCACTATTATCCATGATAAATTAAGAATTTTAGATAATAAGTTTTAACAAGATAGACATAAGAATACTTGATTAAAAGAGTTACCTGATTGTGCCTGCTCTCAACACAATCCCGAACTTTTGTGGCCTTGACGCACACCAGCTTCGGCCTTCTCACAGGACTTCCAGTGCTCCAGAGAGACTATTGCTGAATCAACCAAAACTTATAATCTTTCTTCTTATATCTTTAAGTGTTTAGAAACTCATTGTGTATGGAAAAATAAAATTTTTGAGAGAGAGTATTTTAGGAAATGATTTTATTCTGAATTGTTGTATCCTCAAATGAGTTTCAGGCACTTATTTATAGGCGAGAGATATAGCTTTGCCTCTTTACATATGGTCTCAAATGGTCGACATATTACATCACAGAGTTATGCCCTAAGTGAAGATAAAGTGGGTGTGAACATAAGGTGGGTGGTGACTCACCATCCCATTACATAGATGATAAAGCATGTGGTCTTATCTATTATTACAAATGGACAAATTACAAAAGGAGGTGGGATCCTCCACTAGCTGCTCCATTGCCTCCTGACGTAATTGCTTACATCATTCCTGAATAGGCTCAAATTCCCTTGTCGAATCTGCGTAATTCACAAATGTGATCTTCTGTAAATTCTTTCTGTAGTCTAATGCATATTTCTTTCTTAATTATTTATGGAATTTCGAGTTGTATTTTTACTAGTGTATCCAGATACTTATTGAGTAACTTGATATCTAGCTCCGTTGGATCACGTGCTTGCATACTCCATATGATAATGGAATTGACTGCATAATTAATCCATCCTCTTATCTTAATGCCTTTGTGTAAAATCATGACATAATTGGTTAGGAACTGGATTAGTTCATCCTCATATTGTGCTTGTCCAATGTCTGGGTAATTACTATTGCTTACTCCAATTTGCAAAACTAGATTGCTAGTTGTATGACTTCTTGAGAGTTCTCCCCCTCACCAAAAATTGGTGGTGTTGAAAATATCTTCAAGAATCCTTTCTTTTATCCGAGTATTTTTGAACAGTATTGGGAAACTGTTCTCTTGATGTTAACCGGGAAGTATTGGAACATATTTTCATCCCTGAAATAAATACGACTGAGTAATCCTGATTGGAGTATCATATATACTTTCATCGGATCTGCTTCTGGTAGATCGATTGTTGTTGGTACAAGATATGAACCATCAATTGGGTAAATGCTTGTCTGCTTATCTTCATATGTGTAGTTAACCACAAACTTAAATTCATGGTCAAAAATGTTTTTGGTGAGCTTGGTCATTTGTTCTTTTTGTTGTTTTGATTGTATGCTACCGATCGTGAGTGGTCTGCTATTTGGAACCTTGCCTAATATAGGCATCTGCTTCTGTGCTGCTGTGGCTGGTAATTGTGTCTTTCCTGCATAGCTTGCCTTGAACTGGGCTAGCGCTTCTTTGCTTCGAACAGACTAAAAATTTTTATGTGTATAATATTATGTCATGTTATGAACATGGCTGCTTGACTCCATTGGGAAAATATCCCCTGATTAGGTCCTATAAATATTACATAATGAGGTTTTACCTTTTCTTCCTCATCATAATGAGGTTTTGCCATTTCTTCCTCATCTATTTCTTTTTCTTTTTCTTTTTCTTTTGATGTTTCGGCTTTTTCATTTCTTTTCTTTTTGTTCTTCTTTGCCTTTTTCTAAGAACAATATGGCTTTTATCTGGTTAATTTCTTTTTCTTTTTTGTTTATTTGCTCAAAGAGCTTTTCTACCTGTTTTTCCAGCATTCTTAGACTATCTTCTAAGACTGGTCTGAATGCTTCCATTCTCGTGTTAATGTGTCTGCTAAGTAGTTTTCTTTTCCTGAAATATATACAAATATATAATCAAACTGTTGTGCTTTTAAACTCCACCTTAAAAGTATGCCTTTGTTGTACGGTTCTTTTATAATCTTTTGTATATAAACTATCTGTTTGAAAGATGAATTTAACTGGTTGTAAGTCAAGGTTAATTTTTCCAAAGCATTTATAAAAGCTAATGTTTCTTTTTCATGTGTTGTATAGTTGCGTTCTGCTTGCTTAAATGTTTTTGATACCTATTTGGATAACAATAATTGCTTGCTATTGGTTTTACCCAATGCTGTTTGCATAGAATAATTAGATTCACTATTTTCATCAAAACTATCTTTAATCATTCTCCGTATAAAGGATTTAACTTCAGATGGTTTGTTGTTTGTAATAAACTTATTAAACTCTTCATATGCATCTGAGATTGTTTGAAGGACTGCTCCCCAAGTATCCTGACTTGTATCAGTGTTTAAAATAAGTAAATCAGTAGGCTTTGGTAGGTAAAGCCGTGGTAAATGAGTACATAATCTTTTTAAGGACTGTACTGCTCTAGTTGTTATCTGTCCACTTCCATGGTACTTTTTCTGAAATCATTTTTTGTAGTAACTCTCTTTCTTTTTTAAGACTTTTTATAAAACCTTTTTCACCAATATATGTTAAACACCCAAGAAATTTTTGAACCTGATTTCTGTTTAATTCATCAGAATCTGATGTATTTTTTCGAGTAAATGTTTTTGAGGTTCAATATAGCCTCCTTCAACTATTTTCATTCCCACAAATTCTGGTTTAGTTTTGCAAATTTTTGTTTTTTCTTTATTTAAAATAACTCCTTTATTTCCTAATTGTATTAAAACCTTTGCATGTTCTTTTAGATGATCTTCTTTTGATCCTTGTGTAAAAACATTATATCATCTATATGAGAAAGACTTATTGATTTTAATCCCTTAAGATTATTATCCTTAAGTCGTTGATATATGCTAGGTGCTTGTTTAAGTCCAAATGGCATTACATTGTATTCATAGTGGTTTTGAGGTGGACAACTAAATGCTGTTAAAGGTTTAGTTTCTTCATGTAACCTTAACTGCCAATATCCCGATTTAGCGTCTAATGTACTATACTTTAGTTCGACTAAAAATATGATCTTGTCTCGGTAACTTATATGCATCTCCCTTAGTGGCTTTATTCATTTCTTTGTAATTTTTAACCATTCTATGTTTTTCTCTTTTTATTTCATTATAACTTTCTACATAGAATGCTGGTGCACTATGTGAACTTGTACTAGGTTGTATAATACCTTTTTCTAACATTTTAGTAGTTTCTTCATGAAATTCTTTAACATCTCTTTCTGTATGGTATTCTATTGGGCACATTGACTTCTTTGTTAGGATCTATTAGTTCTATTTTTACTATCATATTATTTATGTTTTTATTTGGATATAATGGATTTTGACTACATATTTTTTCTAATAACTGATTAACATGTTCTTCTAATGTTATGCTTATTACTTTATAAATTTGAAATGGAACTTTTCTTAATATCTCCCCCCTTATGAAAGAAGACGTATTATATATTTTTGTGGTAGTTATTTTACTAGACTGCATATCTAATTGTGGACATCTAAGACTAATGTTGTTTAATCATTGAATAAATGAACTGTATAACTTAAGAAAGTTATTCTCAATTATTAATGGTAAACATGTATTTTGTTTATAAAGACTTGGTAAAGGAAATTGCTTTTCTTTTATTAACAATACTAAATCTGTTGCTCTATAATCGATACTTATTGTCTTATTATTTGCAATTCTCACTATAATTGCTTTGTCTAATTTCTTTCAATATTTATTAGGTAATATAGATTCTTTTGCTAGACATATCGTTGCACCCGTGTCTATATATGATAGTAAAAATTTTGTTAAATAATTTAAATTTTATAAATGAACTATTTTCACTCATCTTCTGATTCTAATGATTTTAAATCACTATCTGTTTCTGATTCTAAATCATATATATCAAAGTCTAATAGCTTACCTTCTACGTATTCTTCTTCTATAGGTTCATAACCTAAAGAAAATATCATTTATAACTTCTTATCTTTTTTTGGCATGTTTTTAGGACATTCATTTGCGTAGTATCCTATTTTTGACATTTCCAACATCTGCAATTCTTTTTTCCTTTAGGACAATATTTGGGCTTTCCTAAGTATTTTCCTTGTTTTCTAAACTTTCCTTTATATTTTGGTTTCTACGGTTTTCTCAATGTTTTATATCTTCTTGGTCTATATCGTCTATTAAACTTATTGTATTTATAATATCTTTTCATTCTATATGGTTCATAACAACCAAATTATTGTGGTACACATTCTAATTGTTTACAACATCTTGAATCGACTTTAGTCATTTCATGCTGTTCTAATTTCCTTAGTCCGACGCCCCCGAGTAGCCTAGTGGTGTTAGGTGCGCTTGGGGTGTGCCGGTTAGGGGTGGGGGTTCGGTTTCTGTATAGGCTTAATTGCAGTTTCGGGAGCTGTTCCTTGGCTAGGGGCCGAGCTGCGATCCGGTTGCTGCTCGTTCGGGATCGTCTTTCTACGGGGGAGGGTGTAGTAATTAGGTGTCTGTGTTTGTCTTGTTTGGGTTTGTTTTGTATTTGTGTTTGTGTTTTAGGTTTGGGCCGTTGGCCTCGGTGCATCCGGGTGTCAAATTTATTACCCTGTGGGGGTCCGACACTCGGATATTACCCTGTGGGGGTCGTGTGTTGTTGTTTTGTTGTTTGAGTTGTTTTGTTGTATTACCCCTTGGGGGTCGTGTCTAGTTGTTTTTGTCTTGAGTTTCTGTTCTAGCACTTGCTAGCCGGGTTTCTAGGCGGTCTCCTGACCTGTCCTCCCACTTTTCAGCCTTGGGCTGCTTGTATTTGCACATTTGTGCGCTTTTGTTATATAATATCCTCTATCGTTTTGGCAAAAATTCCTTATACAAAGCTCATCTTTATATTCTTTGGCATATTTTTCTAAAATTCCTAGAGTTTTTTCTTCTCTTGTTTCACTGATTTTCTAGATAGTCAAATAATACTCCGGATGTTTTGTATCTTATATAATTAAGAGAATATGTTAATGTTATTCCATTTATCATTGAATCATTAGTTTGAACTAGTAATTTTAGTTGATTACTCCAAGTGACTAATAAATCCTCTGCATCGGTTGCACAAACTATATTTAATATTCCATTAGATAGATTTCTTTCTTTTCAAAATATGACGGTGGTATATTTTTCTTAATTTTTTCTTGATGATAGCTATAATCATTTTTATATATAAAATCTCTAAGACTTCTTTCAACATAATTATTCCATGAACTAGATATTATTTGTTCTAGGTCATTTTGTTGATAATGGTGATGTTGTATGTGGTTTTTGGTAAGTCATATTAAATATGGGTTCATTTTCATTTTCGCTATCTATTCCATATATTATTCCTTATTTATACTCATCATCTATTTTTTCCATTCTAGTTTCTTCAATAATACATTTTTCTAATAACTGAGTTAATCGATCTATATCATCCATTAGAACTTTTGGCAGTTCTATTTGAATTGGTTTAAATAATTTCTTCCGTGTTTTTTCTTTTTGTACTAAAGCTCGTAACTCTTTTATTGTTTCTTTTATTTCTTCTAATTTTTCTAATGTTTCTAATCGGGTTTCCTTTATTATTTCTATAAGTGTTCCTATTTGTTCAGAGATCCTTGGTGGATCACTCATATTATTACTTTTTTTTTAAAAAAAAATAAAATAAAAAAATTCTTAATAATTTCTTTTGATTTTTTTAAAAAAAATAAAAATAAAAAAATTCTTAATAATTTCTTAATGAGTTGCATTTGAAGATAGGAACCCCGATCATGTTATTACAAAACATGGATCATTATATGGAATTGTGCAATGAGACATGATTACTTGTGACCAAACTCTCCACGCATGTGCTTGAATACATGATATTGACGGGTATCACTTGCGAGAAAATGTTGAGTCTTAGAATGAATTTAACTCCTTCTGATAATTCTATTTATGTTCTAGCGGCGTCATTTCCCACTTATGGTTTCGCATGATGAGTTGCCCAGTAGTCAAACTAATAATGTTGTGTACAAGAAGATTTTTAAAAATATATGATTTTTTTACGAACATTTTATGATTGTACAATTAAATACACTTAAACTTATAATACTCCCTAATTAAATACATCTCGTGCATCGCACGAGTTGCACACTAGTCCATTATAAAACTTAGAAGTTGTTATCGAAATTATTATGCAATATTCAAAATATTCGACGGGCTATTCAAAATTATTATGCAATATTCAAAATATTCAATGGGTTATGCATGGAGAGCAACGCGCGCAGATAAGTCTCAACCGAGTCGAGACCGCAAAGATCCTTAACGACAGGCATAGTAGCTGGCACGTCCAGCTGGAATGTCGACTCAGCGCCTTTCAATTCTCCCTAGGACTTGAGCTATTTTCTTGCATCCTTAATCACTGCCCGCGTGGCACAGTGCACTGATGCCGCCAGAAGCAGCGGCGGCTCACCAGAAGCTGCACCAAAAAGACAAACTTGATCAAATTATAAACAAAGTGTAGTGTTTTTTATTTGTTCTTTTTAAGCCCATGCATTTCTTGAATATTTTGCGCTCAAATGCTAGCTTCGGCCAAATAGACAAATTGGTACCTAGGTGGAAATGAATGTCATCTCTAAATAAAAGTTAACTTTCCGAAATCATGTACTTCTCTAGAGACGCTAAATTATATTTTTGAAATCATCTCACATTATATGAAAGTATGTACTGTAAAGTCTAAAGTACTTGTGCATATGATTGAGCACACTACACAATTGACAACTTATTCAAACATTTCAATATTTTGATCAGAATCAAACATTCCCTTTCAATGTTATTTATTTGGAAGATAGACGAACAGCATAATTTATTATTTGCAAATCATTTTGGTTGTTGCAATGATTTTAGAGTTGTTTATCATAATGCCTTTCACATTCATTCGAAGTTACAATATTTATGTGTCTAATAATATATTTAATGCATTTATTGTCCAACTTTTTGTATCATACATAATGCTTCGAAAATTCAACATAAAGATAATTTCTTGATTCTTCAATAATAACGAAATAATGAGACAATATTAAGAAACATATTATTTGTCAAAATATTTTAAATGAGAATAACTTGGATTCTATTATATTATGATACTCTTAGATATTTGTGAACTTTATTATTATATAGTCATTATTAAAGTTTATGGTTTATATTATGATAATATGGAATCATTATTTATGATAACCAATTTCTTATAGAAAACATATATTTAAATGCTAGCAACAAAAAGTAGTAATATTAAAATATTTTTGTTTCTTAATACTGGTATTCATACCTTTTTAAGAAAATTCAAACCTTTTCTTCTCCCCATTGCATTACTATTGTTTAATTTATTTGTCATTTAATTCACAAATAGTAATTTATTTGTTGAAAAAATTAGAGCACATTTACATGTGGTAACGCAAAACACTCCGACCGGCTTGAAATCGGCTCGTCTTCCTCCTCCTCGCCGGTAGAACTTCGCGTACCTGTAAAGAACTCTGACACCGGGGGGTTTTTCCAGTGAAGAGCCTTCGATGCTTAAGTCAGTGTATATTTTACTCAATTCTCCAAAGTATATAATGGATAAATCGTAAGTCAAGGGCTCACTTTTATCTATATAGGAGTGAGATACCTGCCCTAGGAGCTGCCCGGATTTTGGTGAGCTGTCCTACCCATGCTGCCTGTCCGTGCACACACAATGTACGTGTGCCAGAGGTGTTAGAGGTGGTTATCGCCATTATTGCTCTGCACCAATGTACTCCCGCCACGTATCCCTCTGAGCAGAGGGAGATCATTCTCTGCACATTCCGTTAGGATCTTCAGACTAAGCCCACGCGCTTTCTTACGTTCAAGCCACGCTCTCGATTACCCTTCACCTGTCGAGTGCTCGATCTGACCGAGTCCCCCTTCGCTAGGTCGATCATCGACCACTTCTGCTATCCTGCTCGATCATTTCCCTCTTGGTCGATTATCGCTCGACCAATACATTTTTCCCGACATTGAGCTCGCCCGACCAATGTGGTAAACCGGTCTATTCTTTCGGCATATAATATCCCATATCATCTAGTCCCCCCACTCTGGTCGAGTCTGAATGACTCGATCCAAGAGTGAACTGGTGTCTGCCTCTTTGATCTGTTGACTCTTCGACCTCCTGGTTGGGTCTTGTCTCCTTCTTCGATCATCCGACCAACGTTGCTCCCACTTCTCGACCATTTGACCGGTTTTATGATGCATTTCATCCACCCTTTATTTCCTATTATTGTTAGAGCGATTTTCGTGTGCCACGTGTCCTTTCAATCCAGTACCTTTAATCATCACGTCTCCTCGCGATCTGCGCCGCTTCGCTATCTGTGCCCCTTTAATTCTCCAAGCCGTCAGATCTCGCTCTCATCTAATGGCTATTTCTACCGACCCTTCACCTTATGCCTCTGTATAAATACCGTACTTAGCAAATTTTTCGACTTTTTCTCACTTTTGCAAATCTCGAATTCCCTTGCGTCCTAACTTCTTCCTCTGCAAATCGTGCTCTCTCGCTCTCGGCGCCTTCATCAAACATTTTCCGGCAAACGTCTTCTACTGCGACCATGAGTAAGTTCTTTGTGCTCTAATTTTGTGTTCTTGTTTGTTTATTTTGTCAATTTCCGGCCTTCTCTGTTGGTTCTCCTCTTTCAAAATCTCCTCCTTTCATCTGTGAAGAAAAAACCCCTTTTTTCATCTTCCGAAACCCTAATCTTTTTCCTTCTCCTCTTGCTTCTCCTTTCTTTTGGTTTTCAGATTCTGCTGCTTCTAACGCGCAAAATCATCATTCCGGCGAAGATGTGACTGCTACGTCGCCATCTCCAACTCGTCGGCTTGTTCCTCACTCTCCCTCTCGCTCAGTGGAGGAAATTTACTGTCATGTTCCCCTTAACACTTTCCGTCCTTCCGATCACACCACCTCTTCTCCTCTGCCTCAACCTCGTCGTCTGATCGATGAATCAGATGATGATGCTCTCGACCATATTTCTCCCACTCGTTGCCGTCGGCCAGCCTTCGGAGCTTCTGACGCAATTGAGGAGGCTCTCGATGCGGCTGAAGCGTCTCGTGATTAGAATAAGGACCATGTCCCTCTTTCTCAGCGCGTTATCTCTTCCTCTTCTAAGTCTAGCAAGAAGAAGGGCAAATTGACCAAAATCTTCTCCTCTGCAAAGGCTTCTTCCCGTGCTCATATAGCCGGCTGGTTGAATACCGATGAGGTCGGCCACCCAACCAAATGGGTCTTTGTATCCCCTGGCCCTAAGGACACATACGATTGTCCTCCCAAACATTGTTATACTTTTTTCGAGATCCAATTCAAACTTGGTGTCCGTTTTCCCCTGTGCCAAGACTTGCTCGATCTTTGTAAGTGGTTCGACCTCCCATTGAACCAGCTCCCACCTAATGCTATCCGTTTTATAACCATTTTCATCATCCTTTGCCATATCCGTCTAGGTTGACTCGACCTAAACTTTTTCCATTACTATTATACACCCTCGAAATCTTCTCATGGGCTTTATCTTAAGAGCCGCAATGATGTCTATTTTATTTCGGACACTTCTTCAAATGTTCCTCGGTGGAAGGATAGGTTTGCTTTTGTCGAGCCTAGCCCTGCTTTTCCTTGGGCATCGACTCCATGGCTTAAGGAGCTGAAGCGTGAGCATGCGCCACCTGCTCAAAGCGCTCTGTTCGACCAACGGATTATTGTATGGAGCCGAAAACCCGTTGCGTCCCTAACCCTTCTAGCAAACGAGAACCTTTTGCATTTATGCGGTCTTCTCACCCACAAGTCCTTGTCCCCTCCTACCCAAGAAACCCTCGACCTTATCCGGGTCGAAGATGACCCAGGTACTTGCTGTTAAATATGCTCGAGTATTGTTGTGTTTGTTTCACACGCGATTTATCTGTTATGGCTCAAATTCGTTCAGGATTTCTTGCAGAGATGCCCGCTATCTCCTTGCCCAAGAGGAGAATTCCTTTAAAGAAGAAAACGATCGAGGGATCGAGCTCGAAGCCCGCTGACTTGACCACTTCTTGGTCCACCCGCTCGGCTTCACCACCACCGGAGCAAATGACTTCTGCCATAGATGATCCTCGTCCTCCATCCATGGCCGGGCCGGTCGTCGAGGAGCCGTCCTCGACCGACCTTCAAGTCGACCGGCAACCCGAACAACCTGAACAGCTCGAGCAGCAAGCCTCTCCTCAACCGGAACCTTTTCCCCACGATCCATCCACTCCTATCATCCACATACCCACTTCCCCTGAGGAGATTCTGCTCGAGGAGAGTCAACTCAAGCGTCCCTCTGTCGAGGGGAATGAGGGAGCTAGCAAGCGCCGTCGCCTCAAGGAGACCGCCGTCTCAATCACTTCTCTCGACGGCCAAGGGTTCTCGTCCTTCCTCAGGGATTTTCTCCCCCCCATCGACCTTCCTACCGATCGGTACAATGACGGTTGTACCCTCCATGACCGGGGCGACCGTATTGCCCGATGGCTAGCTCAGGTAATCCCTTATAACTTAGTGAATATCTACTTTATCTCACCTGCTTTTATTATTTGTGCTCTAATTCTTCTTTTTATATGTCCTGATAGGGCATGGTCGAACTCGTGCCCTTGATCGAGCAGACGCTAGCCAGCTCGAGCCACTCTATTCCTGCAATCGAGCGAGGGTCTCTCGTCCTCAGTGATCGAGTGACCGATCTCGTTGTCAAAGGGCACGCCTTGCAGCAGAAACTAAAGGAGGTGGCCGCCCAGGTTAGGGTCCTTACCGCCGAGAAGGAGACGCTTGAGGGGGCCCTCGAGTCTTTTGAGGAGGCGCTCGCAGCTGAGTGGGCGGAGAAAGAGGCTCTCAAAGCTGCCTTAGAGGCTAAGGGGGCTAAGCAGAAAACCCTCGAGGTTGCGTTCGAGGAAGAAAAGGCGGCTCGATCACGTGAGAATGTCGCTTTCGAGCAAAGGGCTAAGCCCTTAATCGATGAGGCTGCTCTCCGAGCGAAGAGGATGATTTTTCACACCACCGCGGGCCAGCGCTTTCTTCAAGGGTATCGCAAGCAAGTGGTGACTGCCTTCAAACAGTCACCCCAATATCTAAAGGAGGTGCAGGCGTATGGCACTGACTGCTTTGGGGCTATCATGCAGCAGGCGGGAGCCCAAATCGCGGAAGACAGCTTTGAGGAATTCAACATTGAAGCTATTTGGGATGCTATGCCCAAGGTTCCCGCCGGCTACCAGAGTGCCCTCGATCTGCCTGCCGACCATGACTGGTGGTTGGGCCTTCTCGAGCTTGTCGTGGATCGTGAAGACCTGTTAAAGCGTAATTTTAAGTTGCCTGACGGTTATACTCCTCCTCTCGCTCGTCAGAATCCGCTGTCCGATGGAGCGGGGTCGACTTCTAGCTCGAGTCAGCCAGTGCAGCAGCAGCTCGAGCCACCTCCAGAGCAAACTCCTAGTGATGCCCATCTCAATGCGGAGCAGAC